GATATGTACATAAGAACTCTACTCTAGTTGATAAAATTGATTCCCACTAGTGTATAGGTTAACAATTCTGACACTATTATATATGTATATTGGAATTAAAGATTAAAGTGTTTTTTGGATGGTGGGAATTAGGTTAGAATGGGAGTTTACAAATAAGCAAGGAGGGGAGGCTAAAATGGTCCATGTGATACTGCAATAGAGTTGAACACATCAATACGACTCATGTTTAGATTAACATAGATAGGAATGGTTACATGTATATGTGTATACTAACATACATACACAAGTTAGTATACACATATACATTTCCTTCCTATTAGCTGACAGTGCCTAAAAGCATTAAGACTCAGTAACATTTTCCCCGTTGATCCCACGTCTAGGAATATATCCCAAGAAACTAGAAACATCAATCAGAAAAGATATATGCACCCCTATGTTCATAGCAGCACAATTCACCATAGCTAAGATTTTGAAACAGCCTAAGTGCCCATCAGCAGATGAGTGGATTACAAAACTGTGGTACATCTACATAATGGAATACTGCGCTGCTGTAAAAAAGAAGGAATTCTTACCATTTGCAACAGCATGGATGGAACTGGAGAGCATTATGCTAAGCGAAATAAGCCAGTCAGAGAAAGATAAATATCACATGATCTCATTCATTTGTGGCATATAATGAACAACATAAACTGATGAACAAAAACAGATCCAGAGAAAGAGGAGCATCGATCCGACCGTCAAACCTCAGAGGGAAGGTAGGGAGGGTGTGGGTAAGGGGGAGAGATCAACCAAAGAACTTGTATGCATGCATATAAGCCTAACCAATGGACACAGACACCAGGGGGGTGAGGGCATGAGTGATGGAGACAGGGAGCAATGGGGGGATAAGGACACGTATGTAATACCTTAATCAATAAAGAAAAGACTCAGTAACAATGAGAACACCTAGCATCCTAATCTTGGTTTATAATACCATTCTCCAACAAAAGGAACCAGAGCTCCTTGGAAAAATAGATAATTCTAGGAATGGGTTTGTCATATTTCCCCAAAGCAGGAAATACACAAGATGGGCCCAGAGCATTTAGTAGTACCAGAAAGTAAGGAAGTGTTCAACATACACACACACACACACACACACACACTAAAAGGGAAGGGGGGATTCACAGGTTCTAAGGGAGTCCCAAAATTCACGCAAGAAGTAATGTTGATACAAAATATGGGTTTATAATTAAATATTGTAAAATTTTTATTGATTCACAAAGTATACAGTATAGGGTTATGTATGGAATAGTAAACTGGATTATCATGTCGTGATAGCAAGCACCATTAACTGTTATTTCCTGAGCAGCCGCATTTTCGAAGAAGAATGGTCCAATGATGCCTCCAGCCCAAAGTCCACACCAAACAGTGACATGTTGTGGATGTATTTGTTTCTCAACAATCACTCGTGGATTTTCTGAACCCCAAATGCCACAATTTTGTCGATTAACCAAGCCATCAAGATGAAAATGAGCCTCATCGCGGAAGATGATTTTGTTCGAAAAATCAGTATCCACTTGTTGTTGTTCCATAATGCATTCAACGAACTCTCTTCGCTGTGCGTGGTCAGTAGGCTTCAGTTCTTAAGTCAATTGAACTTTGTAAACATAAAGATGCAAATCTTTCGTGAGAATATGTTGTAGAGAGCTTCTCAAAAATGCCAAAT